CTATTATTTAGGGTACTATACTAGGGTCCCCTGCTTTCGGAATCCCTCAAATACCAAGAAGCTCCTGACCCTCATCCAGAATCAGGTCACCCTCTGAGCCGGAGAACCTGTCTCAAACCCTAAGTCTAAGTCTTAAACTTCCCTAAACCTCAAACCCTCGGCTATACACACCGTGAGGATATGCCCCTAAACCCCAAACCATAAACCCCCTAAACCTCAAACCCTCGGCTAGACACCGTCAGGATATTTATCTTGGGGAAAGCATAAGGGTTCATGTACCCAAATACCTTTGCGCAAGGGTATCCTAAGGGCTCCTTTAAGGGATCCTTATGAGGCTTCTCTAGAAACTGTCAGGATATGCGACCCTACGGCCGCGTGTCGCTCACGCGCCTGGCCTACGACTACTTCGGCGCCGAGCGCTCGGAGAGGAATTAGGGTTTAGGGTTTAGGGTGGGCAAGTGAGATTTTAGGGATGTCGTACAGAAGCCTGAATCTGAATGGTGAATGAGACTATTCCTAAGGGTTCCTTAGAGCGTATTCATTGATTTCATACTACTTACTTTAGGCTTCTAATCGGATAATATCATTGTTTCGAAAAGTCGGACTAGTGATTGGGTCTTACCAAGCTTACCCTGAGGGTCCAAAGGCTTGGGGCTTAGGGCCAGCTAGTAGAGTTTAGGTGCCAAAATTGTTCCAAGCATAGTAGTTAGAGCTTAGAGTTCCATTTTTCATGTGCTTGGACCCGGTTCGGGCCCAGTGACACATCATGAGGCTCAAGCGCGAAGACGGCCTTATATACTCGCAAGAGTCAGAGATGCAGTGTAAACTCAAGGCCCTGTCAGATGTTTCTTAAGTTGCACGTTTCCCTAATGGTCCATGTACCCAGATAGTTTTTGGCCAATCAATGTATATACTGTTTGGGTGCATGGACCCTTATACCCTAAACCCTTATAGAACCCTCATAAGGATCCCTTAGAGGAGCCCTTCTATAGGGTACCCTTAAGGAACCCTATTCGGTTACATGAACCCTTCGGGGGTCGCCTGCTGAAAGGCGCCAGAGGTCCCGCAAAGGAAGCCCTGAAAGGAGGCCGTTTCTAGCCAAGGGATCTTTTAAAGGGATCTAAGGATTTAGGGTTTAGGGTTTAGGATGGTTTGTCGCGAGAATCCCGGGAGGATCTAGAAAGTAGATCCCCTAATTTGGGTTGGGGCCTATACTACTAAGGAACCCTATTCTAATTATTAAGACCCCTATAAGGGCCTGACGACCCTAAGGTGTTTCTCGCCTCACATACTATAAGTCCCATAATCCTCCACGTAAGCTTCAGGGTTTGAAGTTTAAGAACATGCCGAGCTTTGTAAACTCTTAAGCATACATGATATTTGTTACTTGGGCCATGATGTGATGACCTTAACTGGTGCAGAGCCGTACACACTGAAGTTCAAACCCCAAATTCCACAACCCTATAGTCTCAAACCCTCAGCCCTCAGGCAGTACACCTACTTACCCTCAACAACAACGAACAGGAACCCCCCACTGATCGAACGCGCCGGCTCAGACACCCGCCGCGACCAGCGCACCTGTTCAGTCCTTCAACAAGGCTCGATGGTTTAGGGTATAGAGTGTTAAGGCCTTTATGATCATGCTCTCTTTCATTTAGGGGCCGTCAGGTTTTTCGACCAGAGGAGGATTAGTGTTTGAGGGGCATTTGGGTGCTCGACTGATGCGCAAAGTATTGAAATGGGAATACTTAGACTTAGAGCATCGAACGGCTTAATAAGTAAGGTTGGTATTATTGCTGCTCTGCACCTAGAGCCCGCATGTGTATCCATACTATAGGGGCTTAAATAATCACCTATGCCATTTGGGGTTCCTTATTATGATTTTAGTATAGTGGGCCCCGAAACCCTATTCTCATCTAATTATTATGGCCCCTATGTTAACCATACTTACTAATTCGAAGACATGTGCTCCCCCAACCCTGAACCACTTTTGGCACGGCAAACAAGCTTTGCTAGTTGTGAATCCTAAGCAGTAGGGTTTCTGAGTGCATATATTTGCTATAGATACCTTGACCTGTTAGAACAGTCTTTCTGGGGGTACAGAGCCGAAGCCCTAGCAATGAAATTATGCGGACCACTACAAACGAGTAAACTATGTTAGGTCCGTTCGATAGGCTCCAATTTGACGAGTTCTGCTTTCCGGTTGCGCAGCCGGCTACCCTAAACCGTAGTATGAAGGCGCCTATATTGTACAACCCCAGTTTAGGTCCCTTCATAACCCTAAACCGTACTCCCTACTTCCTTGATTTACAGGAGATCGATATCGATTGCCGGGACGACTTCCTGGTAACGCAGTATCCACATTGCAGGGTACCGGGCCTGGCAGACCCTAAGGCTCCATGTACCCATATAGTATATACTTATGCCTTAAAGTACCTATATAGGGACCCCCTTAAGGCCTAAGTTTCTGCCATAAAGGTCCATGGAGCCTTTGGGAGAGGGCTTGCATGTGTTATTTGTAGTCGGGTCTTCGTTCGGTGTTGGGCTATTTTGCTGGTACGGGGTGTTATTGCGCTTAAATGAGGGTTCGCAGGGGCTCATTCATACGGGTTGCATTAGGTTTTTCCTAAGATTGCAGGGCTTCCGAACGTTTGTAGTGGTTTAGAAGGGCACTGTTAAGGGTTCTGCGAGGCTTCAGGCTTCAGGGTTTGGTTTAGGGTTTAGGGTTGTTGAAACCGTAGTTTGAGTGCAATTTATTGCTATTGCATGTTAATCGGCTGTACTTTCTCAGAAAGAGTAGGGGCTTTCGTAAGCTTCGATAAGGCTGCCGGTGGGGGTTTCCAGGCACATGCATTCGAGGCTTTGATGTGGTTTGTCGACTCCTCCAACAACTTCCAAAGGTTGTGGTTTCTTGGCTCGCGAAGGCTTCCCATGGAATGGGCATTGCTAATTTCTGGAGTGTTTTTCGCTGTTGCAAGATGGGGATAGCAGCGATTTCGGGCTTAGCGCTGTAGGGAATTTGGCAAGACATCTATCCAGAATCCAGAACAGTCAGACATCGCCTCCATCCCCTCAACCCAAACCCAAACCCTCTGATTATCAGGAGTTTGGTAACCCTCAAAATTACCCAGAGGCCCCAAAGTAGTTGAATTTTGGGATTACCTAATAGGATTCTGAATATGAACCCCAACAAGGAACTACTTTAGGGCCTTAGGGTAGCCCAACACTGATTCAATAGCCCGTTATCCGCCAGACGCTCCAAAAGTCCTTGAGGAATATGGGAGTTTCCGAAAATAGGGGACCCTATAGGGTTCCTTTAAAGGGCTACTATCAGGGTACTATAAGGGTTCCTTTAAAGGGCTCTATAAGGGTTCATATTGGGGACCCTAAATAGTACCTTAAATAGTAGGATCCTTATTATAAGGACCCCTAAATAAGGTACCCCTGTTTCCGGAAACTCACATATACCCATCAGCAACACGTTCGGCCTTGTGCAACTTGCAGCTTCGCGGTTGCTTCCGGAGACGGCGGGGCACTGCCATCCTAGTGGAAAGAAGCATGGCTGCGGCGAACCATTCTTCCGAATCGGCCTCCACAAACCTACAAGAGAAGCCCTCCATGCCGAGACCCCAAACCTCAGCCTTCCACACTACCTCTACCACGACGTTTGCAAGGAAATCATAAGACCAAGAGGGAACCAAAAAGGTAATGTAGGGGCCTTAATAATCACCTGTACTACTTTGGGGGTTCCTGATTATTGACGTTATGGTATGATGGGCCCAAAATCCCTATTCTAATTGTGAAGGCCCCTACATCAGGTGCCGTAGGGTTCAGGCGGGTTCAGGTAGACCATGTCCAACTTTGCAGAAATGTCCCAGGTTACCCTAAACCCTACACCCTCAAGCGTTGTGCAGGTTTGCCCAACTTGTGGTCTCGTGCTGGGACGCCGCGAGGCGGGTGACACGGTTTAGAGTTTAGGGTTTAGGGTTCAGGGTTTAGGGCTGGTCGTGCAGTATAGCTGGGGTTCAGGGTTCTTGAAGGGTACCTCTACGGGTAGCAGCGGGGGTTCTACAAGGGTTCCATACTTGGAGGATCATGGGACTTAGTATTTAATTAAGGTTATACCCTCCAGACGGGATGATCGCGCGCTGTTATAAGTACCCTTATCTGGGCTATAAGTAGTTACAAGTATCCTTACCCTAATAATGACTCTGGTAACTAAGTCCCATGATCCTTGTGCCCTAAACCCCCCATAGATCCATTATAGGTCCCTTTTAAGGAGCCCTTTAAGGAGCCCTCTAAGTATCTGCGTCCCATGATCCTTTAAACCCAATTCCGGGTTTGAGGTCAGAGAGGGTTTGGGGGCTCTAGGGGCTTTAGGGTGTAGGGGTTTAGGGGTTTAGGGGTTAGGGGTTTAGGGTTTAGGGGTTTAGGGACTTTGGGGTGTAGGGGTTTTTGGGTTTGTAGGGGTTTGGGCCCACTTGGAGGTTCATGGGTAGTTTTAAGTGGGGTTGTAAGTAGGGTAAGTATAGCGAAAACCCATATTAGGGGGCTTATAACCCCACTTATAACTACCCATGAACCTCCAAGCATAGTTTGGCTGGGTGATATGGAGGTGTTGGGTCAAGGGTAGTGTCGGAGCCGTTTTCGGGCTAGGTTGCGGTTTGAATCATTCCCTTTGCGAATAGGAACTTTGCCAGCGATTGCTTTTCACTTGGAAATGCCTTGCACAAGTACCATGACCGTAGGCTCCGCTTCCGAACACTAACGTACGGAAACACTAGTATCCCTAAATTCGTGTCCCTAACACACCAATTCTACTGTACACGCGAAAAAACCTCGGACCCTGAAGCGCTAAGCTTCACCAAAGCCTCGAAGTATGAGCATTCGGTCCTCCAAAACCTGTATATTCCTTATGGCTGCCTTCTGAAATTTGGAAACGATGTGATCCCCGACAAGCTTCAACTTACCAAATTCCATTCTGGCAGGAAGGTGCGCACATGCCCACTGAGCGGTCAGACTTCAGCGACGCTTTGACGCAGTTCGAGTTTACAGTTTGACACCAAGTCCAGGACACAAGTGCTCTCGTCCCTGCCTGAAGCCAATAAAAGATGAGTTCAGAGTGAGATCTGGCAAACCACATTCTGCTTATGACGAGGTCGTGAGCTACTCGGATGAAACGCCAGACTCCACTGACGATGCCCTGGCAGTCAGCACCCCAAGGGGCTTTTATTCGGCTTAAGGTTTCAGGTGGGGGTGAAAGGAATCAAAATCTATAGTACAAGAGCTGAGTGATTTTGCTGGAGGATGTTATAGGACCGGATTATGGGCTCAGTAGGTTTTTCGGTGTGGATCTATAGGCGCAAGCCCCAAACCGTACCTGTAGCCCCCAAATCCCTACCGCTTTGAGGAATTGTTTCAAGAAGCCTTGTAAGGAACCATGGGAGGGTGCAATTGGGTCTACAGGTTAGAAGGGGCCCCCACCCTGCAATAGTGACTATCAGGATTATATTGGGGCCCGATCATATTCCCATTATGCCACTATTACAGGGTGGGGGCCCCTTCTAAAGCCGGGGTTCGCGTATGCAGTGTTCTGAGACGCGCTGTTCACGGGGGAAGACTTGCAGTACTTGAAGTTGCTGCTGCTTGCTCGGGCTATATACTCATTACCCAGGTCCTCCAATATCCCTTACGAAGGAAAACTCTGTAAATCATGATCGCAATCCTACGATAATTTAAGGTTTATAATCCTTCATTAAGGGATAGTGGAAGATCTTGGTAAGGTATCCGTGTCATCAGCCGTAAACCCTAAACCCCTACACAGTCAAACAGCACTAGACAGAGGATATGTTCCAACATGGAGCAGCAGCTTCGTGTAATGCCTAGCTCAAATGGTCCAAGTAGCAGAAGAGTAGGTACTTAGTAGATTTTTGGACCCTAAAGTATATGGTAGTTTCCGAAACTGTGGAACTCCAACATAGTACTTTAAATAGTAGGATCCTTATCATAAGGACCCCAAAATAAGGTGCCCCTAATTTTCGGAAACTACCAAAATGTAATGCTAGGTTCCCGAGTATTAAAGTACCCTCTTGCCCTTTTTTTTTAGGGTCACCTTATTCAAAATCGGACAGCAGGAAACAGGGTACCCTGATTCTTAAGGAGTTACGTGGGAACCTATTGTCTTAGTAGCTGAGTCGGTAGCCCTGAACCTTTTGGGGTTTATACAATCCTACCATACTTGTAAAGGTTATAACCCTTCACCCCTATAACCCTAAACCCCCTTAAAGGAATCCTTATAGGATCCCTTAAAGGATCCCTTATACAGATCCCTTAAAGGAACCCTTATAGATCCCTTAAAGGAACCCTTAAGGGATCCCTTGAAGGCACCCTAAAAGGATCCTAAACCCCCCTTTTGGGGCCTGGGGTAGTCAGCCCGGAAGTTGTAGGGTCTTACCACCTGTGAGGTGTTCGGTGGCTACCGCACCACGTGGGGCTACTTTGCCAAGACGCCAAAAGAGTGCGAGGACCGGGCCCCGTAACACCAAGGGGTTTAGGGATTTAGGGTTTATAGGGTTTAGCGATTTAGGGTTTATATAGGGATTCATGGTTTGTAGGGTTTATAAGGGATTTAGGGTTATATATAGGGCTTAGGGATTTAGGGTTCAGGGTTTAGGAGCCCTGAAACCCAAACCCGAAAGCGCCAGACTCCATCCCAAATTCCTAAACCCTGAAGTCCTAAACCAAAAAGCCCTAAACGCCCCAAACCGGAGATGAAATTCTCAATCCTGATGCCCAGAACCGAAATCCCGCACCTGGGACCCCACACTGAAGATGAGAGTTTAGGGTTTCGGGTTTAGGATCAGGGTTCCTGGTTTAGGTTGGGTTTCGGGTTTAGTTGACAAGGCCCAAATCTCTGGCCCCGAACCCGAACTGGTGGGCGAAACCCGTGCTTAGTCCTACGGCCTGCAGTCAGTCAGTCAGTCAGTCAGTCAGTCAGTCAGTCAGTGTGTGTGTGTGTGTGTGTGTGTGTCTGTCTGTGTGTGTGTGTGTGTGTGTCTGTGTCTGTTTGCGTGTGTGTCTGTGTCTGTTTGCGTGTGTGTCTGTGTCTGTTTGCGTGTGTGTGTGTGTGTGTGTGTCTCTGTGTGTTTGCCTGCCACTTTCTTCTGGACCATCCACCATGTGTCGGTCCAGCCAGCCACAAAGCCATGATCCTAAACCTCGGGTCGGGTCCTCAGCAGGTGGTTGTGACAACGACCACCACAACCACTACGACCGTTTCGGGTGAGGCCTTGGACAGGTTTCAGCTTGGATGTTTCGGGGTTCGGGTTTGGAGACTTGTACTTTAGAATTCGGGTTGCAGGTTTAGGATTCAATGTTTTTGGTTTAGGGTTAACTGTTTGGGGTTGGGGGGTTTCAAGTGTGTATGGTTCAGGATTGATGTTTCGAATTCAGGGTCTGCGCTCCAGGGTTGAGTGCAGCTCGGTTTAGGATTTAGGGGTTTCAGCATTCAGAAGTTGAGCCGGTACTTGTGGGGTTCGTTTCGGGCTGCTGGGAGGGTTGAGTGAAGAGTAAAATTCAATCCTGCAGGGTCCAAGTATTGAAAGTGTAGATATCGGAGTCTCCGAAAAGTGGGGGTGCTTTACTTTGGGGTCCTTATAATAAGCATCCTACAATTTAGCGAGCTACATTTAAGGTCCCTATTTCCGGAACTCCTAGATGTCATTGCTAGACTTCTGTCCCTAAACCTACTGAGACCAGCCGAAACCCTCTGTCATTGACCGAAGGGCTGAAAAGGCCCCCATCCAGGCTTGAATCACTGCTGAAAGTCTGCAGTTGCAGGGGATGCGAAGTGGCCGAGTCTCTCGGGAAGTGCCGCATGAGAAGTCGAATATCCAAACGACCCGATTACCGATTGTGGGAGTTTCTGGAGCACGTCGCAATAGCTGACGACACGACTCTTGAATACGTTTTAGCTTGGCTCCTTTCGCGGGAAAGCTTACCCTAAACCCTAAACCCTATCCCCTTAAACCCTAAACCCCTAAACCCTAAACCCCTAAACCCTAAACCCCTAAACCCTAAACCGCAAACCGCAAACCTCAACCCTTACCTTCTAATGCGGAATTTCTTCATCTAGGATGCCCAGTAGCGCCCTTCTTCCCTTTTTGGTAGTCCTAGGTTCCGTATAAAGTTGCCCAAGACCAAAAAGGGAGCCCTAGTCATGATTCGGGACAGGTCATCACCTTGACGGATCCGCCGGACACCACACCCGTCCCGCTGGCACCTCAAGCATACCAACGGTCTTTGAGAATTTCCTTGATTCCTTAAACTCACCGAATTCCTTGATCCTTGCCCCCACATATTGGGTTTAAGGGGTTCATTAGTTCCCGAAATATTTTCCCCGTGAATGGGAACACCTGAATCCTAACCATCAGTGTCAGATTCAGGAAGGGATTTTAGGGGTTTAGGGAATTCACTCGATCCAATACATAGGGCTAGGGGTTAGGAATTCTCGAGAATTTAGGGGTATAGGGGATTTCCTGAATCCAATACATAGAGCTAGGGGTTAAGGAATTTACTGGTTTAGAAAGCAAAAGATAACTCGGGGTGTTGGTTCAGGGCCCAGGATTTGGAGGTTGGAGTTTTGTCTAAACCCTAAACCCTAAACTTTAGGGTTTAGGGTTTAGGGTTTAGGGTTTTAGGGGTTTAGGTTTTAGGGTTTAGGGTTTAGGCTTTTAGGGCTTCGGCTTCGGGTTGAAGTTAAGGATCAGGAGGTAGGGTGTAGAGCAAGTGCTTCCGATGGCAGGACTATTTTGGATAACTGTTGCTGGTAGTAAGCAGAAATCAGAGGCTGTGTCACCGACCAGCGATAGCTGACATCTTTAAACCGGACGCAACGCAGATTGCAGATGTTTGCATCCTGCACACAACGCCCCAACACATGCGGACACGAGCTTTGAAGCACGACGATGTTTGTAATAATTGTATTTAAACGAACATGTCTATGCATTTTTCACTGATATGGTTGTCTATTCAGTAGAGCAACTAACAGATTCACGTTTTCTCGTTTTCAGGCTAGCCTGTGAGTAAGACAGTCGGCCAGCCAGTCAGGAAGGTAGTCAGCTAGGCAGGTCGTCAGCTAATCATTCAGTCGGTCGGTCAGTTCAGTCAGTCTGTCGGTCAGTCAGTCGGTCGGTCGGTCCGTCAGTGAGTCAGTCAGTCAGTCTGTCAGTCAGTCATATATGTATGTATGTATGCATGCATGGATGTCTGGATGTATGTATGTATGGTACAAAAATTGACACACCCATAAACAGCTAGATAGAAAATTTTTAAGTTTGGGCTCTTTAAACCCTAACCCCCTAGACCCCAAACCCTCGTAAGTTTTTTATATCTTTCCACCTCTCCAGAAACCATGAGCCTTCGGCTCCCTAAACCCTAAACGGCCCTACACCCCCTAAACCCTAAGATCCCTAATAGGACAGCGTTGCAGTCGTACAACGGAACTCAAAAAAAACCTAAAGTGCGAGGGTGGGACCGGAGACGACGACGTTGCTCGATGGAGGAAGGGCACCAGGGAACTCTCAGGGGCTTTGGGTTTTGCTTTGGGGTTGGGGTGGTCCTCCGGGTTTAGGGGTTAAGGGTTTAGGGCTTGGGGGGGTTCAGATTCCATAGTTGTCGGAGGTTTTCGCTGCAGGAATGCAGTCGAAGGATAAGATCCTACACCCTAAACCCCTGAGAGCTTCTGAAGCGCTAGTGCCGCACCGACCAATAAGCTTCTGCAGCACGGTTGATGACATAAATCCTGCATTACTTTAAGGACCCTACACTATGGAAATTCTGGTATATTCCTTATTATGGGTCATGCAGGATTGAAATCATCAACCGTATGGGGTTGGGACCCGTTCTTGTTCAGGCATCCTGTGTCCGAAGGTCGCAAGATTTCGCGTTGGAGGGAGGGTTCAGGGGGTGTACCTCCAGGATTAGGGCCTGGCTCATGGACTTGGGTTGAGGTAATGGGTATGGGTTTAGGGTTTACGGGTCAGGTTCAGGTAATGGGGTTGAGGATTGAAATTCGAGGCTGCGGTTTTGGATGAAGTTCCCCAGAGCATCCGATATTGAATTTTTTCAAAAAATCAATAGGGTTTTGAAATTTGTGTAAAATCAAGCGTTTCGCGATTTTTTCAATAGAGACCTTTTGCATGAAATTCAATAGAAGAGTAGAGTCAAAATCAATCGAGGATATCACAAAACCGATCCCATAAAATCAATCGAGAGAACATGCATAAAATCAATAGAGAATGCACAGTAAAATCAATAGAAAATCCAGAGTAAAATCAATAGAAAATCCAGAGTAAAATCAATAGAAAATCCCGAGTAAAATCAATAGAAAATCCAGATAGAAAATACAGACTTTCAATTCGAATCAGTTGTGAAACGAATCATTTCGTATGACACATATACACATGCACATGCATACATACGTATATCTTTAATTCCTGGGCCGGGCTTCCCAACCCATGTTTCCACATATCTTTAGTCCTGGGCCGGGCTTCCCAACCCATATACTATTTATGCTATGGTATGGTATATGGTATACACAAATACATGCATACTACGATTCATATAGGTTTGTGTGACTAACTGGGCTTTCCAACCCATGCAATCCGGGGCTGTCCAACACGTCTAAAGCCTTAACGCTTTAAACTCTTAACTCCTAACCCCCTAAAGCCGTAAGGTTCTAAACCCTTGAACCCCTACGCCCCTAAACTCTAACACCCCTAAAGGCCTAAGCCCCTAAACCTTTAATGCACATGTTTAGTTTGTTGGTTCGGTTGGTGATTAGGGTTTCGTCTCAGCGGTTGGGGTTTTAGTTTCCCGGTACATAAAGTAGGAACAGCTGATTTCTGTAATTTTAAAACCTATAACGTTTAGGGGCTTAGGGGTTTGGGGGTTTCGGGGTTTAGAGGGTTAGGGGTTTAGGCGCCGAGGCGGCGTTTCGGGGTTTTGGGGTTTCAGGCTTACGGCTTTTGGTGTTTTGGTTCTTAAGTTTTAAGGGTTTAGGGCTTTAGGGGTTTAGGCGTTTCGGGGCTTCAGGGTTTCGGCCTTTCGGGCTTAGGGCTTTAGGAGTGTAGAGGTTTAGGGTTTAAGCGTGTTTGGGCTTCGGGGCTTTATAGGGTTTATAATCAGGAGTTGAGGCGTTTCGGGGTTTTGGGGTTTCGGGCTTCAGGGACTTAGGGCTTGGGGTTTAGGCCTATAGGGATTTTGGGCTTCTGGGCTTTAAGGGCTTAGGGGTTAGGGGTGTAGGGGTTCAAAGGTTTAGGCGTCTCGGGGCTTCAGGGTTTCGGGCTTTGGGGCTTTAGAGGTTGAGGGTTTTAGAGCGTTTGGGCTTTTGGGCTTTAAGTGTTTATAGGGGTTCAGGAGTTGAGGCGTTTAGGCGCTTTGTTGCTTTTGATTTTTTGGGCTCTAAGGTCTTAGGGTCTGAGGGGTTCAGGAGTTTCAAGCGTCGGAGCTTCAGGGTTTTGGGGCTTTTGGGCCGTTGGGGTTTAGGGTTTTAGTTCGTTTGGGTTTTTGGGTGTTTGGGCTTCGGAGCTTTAATGTTTAAGGTGCCAGGAGTTTAAGGGTTCAGGCGTTTCGGGGTTTTGAGTTTCGGGCTTCAGGGTTTTGGGGCTGTAGGGGTTTTGGGCTTGTGGTTTTGAGGGTTTGGGGTTCAGTGGTTTAGGGGTTTAGGCGTTTCGGGGGCTTCAGGGTTTCGGGCTTTAGGGCTTTAGCGGTTTAGGGCGTTTTGGCTGTTGGGTTTTAAGGGTTTAGGGGTTTTAGGCGCTTCGGGGTTTTGGGGTATCGGGCTTTGGGTTTTTGGGCTCTAAGGCCTTATTAGGGGTTCAGGGGTTTCAAGCGTGTCGGGGCTTCAGGGTTTCGGGTTTGTGGGCTGTTGGGCTGTTGGGGTTTGGCGTTTGGGTTTGTCGGTGTTCGGGCTTTGGGGCTTTAAGGATTTAGGCATGTATGGGGTTTAGTTTACTAGGGTTTAGGGTTTCAGGGGTTTGGGGGTTTACGGGTTTTGGTGTTCAGGAATTTATGGGTGTAGGGGGCTAGGCGGTTTAGGAGTTTAAAGGGGGCAGAGGCGAGGGTTTATCGCACTAGCGGTTTTGTGGGTTTCGGGGCGTAGGCGTTTCGGGATTTCGGGCTTTCGGGTTTTAAGGGGGGCCTCCGGAGTCCGAGGGGTCAGGGTTCAGGGGTTCAGGGGCAAAGGCAGAGGTTTGGGGTTTTGAGGTTTGGAGGAGTTTTGGGCTCTAGGGCTTCAGGGGATTTTGGGGTTTTATGAGGTTCAGGGGGCGGAAAAAATTGGGCATCAGGGCTGAGTGGTTCAAGATAGCACACCAATTGACCGCTTCACAGATCTTCATGTGATGTCATGTGTTTTCATGTGTTTTCATGGGTCTTCATGGGTCTTCATGGGTCTTCATGGGTCTTCATGGGTCTTCATGGTTCTTCATGGGTCTTCATGTGTTTTCATGTGTTTTCATGGGTCTTCATGGGTCTTCATGTGATTTCATGTGTTTTTGCGCCCCCTGAACCTCATAAACCCCAAAACCCCTGGAGCCCGAAAACCCAAAACCCCTAGACCCCAAAGACCCGAAACTCCCAAACCGCTATCCATGAACTGAACCCCTGAGCCCCCGAACCCCAAAACCCCTAAGGCCTTAAGCCCCAAACCGGAACAACCCAAAAGCCCCAAAACCCTGCACCACCAAAGCCCGAAAGCCTGACGCTTGAAAACGCCTAGGCCTAAGCCCCTGAACCTCTACACCCTTGAACCCAAAGCCCTACAGCCCTTAACACCAAAACACCGAAATACCTAATTACATTGCTCATTTCCTGAGGCCCTACAGTTAAACCCTTAAAAAACCCAAACGCCGAGCAACCCAACCACAAACCCTGACGCTCTGAAACCCTTAGCCTCTAAACCCCTAAAGCCCTAAAGCCCTAAAGGCCAAAACGCTGAAGCCCCGAAGCCCCCAAACACCTGAACCCATTAAATAACGCCCAAAAGCTTTAAAAACCCCGAATCGCCCAAACGGACTCCTGAACCCTTAAAACCTTAAAGCCCCAAAAACCCAAAATCCCAAACAGTCCAAAACCCTAAACATCTAAAGCCCGGAAACCCTACAGCCCTAAAGCCCAAACGCTTAAATTCCTGAACCCCTAACCCAAATGCCCCAAACGCCCTCAAGCCCTTAAGGGCCCTAAAGCCCGAAGCCCCAACACCCCGAAACGCCTAAACCCCTAAACCCCTGAACCCCTAAACGCTTAAAGCCCAAAAGGCCAATCACACGAAAACCCAAACACTCTGAAACCTTAAACCTCTAAACCCCCTAAAGCCCTAAAGCCCGAAAGGATAAACGCTGAAGCCCCAAAACGCCTAAACCCTGAACCCTCAAAGCCCAAAAAGCCTTAAAACCCCCAAAACGCCCAAACGCTCTAAAACCCTAGAACCTAAAGCCCCAAAACCTCAACGCTTAAACTCCTGAACCCCTATACCCAAAAGCCCCAAACGCCCTCAAGCCCTAGGGGCCCTAAAGCCCGAAGCCCCAACACCACGAAACGCCTAAACCCCTGAACCCCCAAACCCTTAAAGCCCAAAAGGCCAATCACACGAAAACCCAAACACTCTGAAACCCTAAACCTCGAAACCCCTAAAGCCCGAAACCCTGACACCCCGAAACGCCGAAACACCTAAACCTTAAGACCCAACAGCTCCAAAAGACCGAACACACTACAGTTTTAAGGGCCCTAAAGCTCGAAACACCCAAAAACCCTAAACACCTTAGCGCCTGAACCCCTAGACCCCCTAAACCCCGAAACCCCAAGACCTCTTGGCGCCTAAGCTAAAACCCCAGACCCCTAATCCCCTAAACTCCTAACCTGCTAGTCCCCTAAACCCTCAGACACGAAAACAAAACCCCTAAACCCCGAAGCCCTCAACCCCCCCAAAACCCCAAAGCCCGAAACTCTTTTCTCCGTAAAATCCCAAACCCCCAATGCGCTAAAGCCCTATATGTGTATATACATATTGTATATATATATATATACATAGAGTGATATATATATATATATATATATATATATATTTATTTATTTATTTATATATACACACCCCTAAACTTCTAAACCTCTGAACCTCTTAACCCCTAAACTCCAAAACCCCCCCAAACCTGAATGAACATATCCAGCTTTTGTTGGGTCGGTTAATGAGTTAATGATTAGGGTTTCGTTTAAGGGTTTGGGGCTTTTGTCTCTGGATACGTAGAGTAGGAACAGCTGGTTCGTGTAAACTCAAAACGGAAAACCTATAGCTATAACCAGCAAAACTGACAATGCATTACTTTACTCCGGCAGTATCTTAGCTTGAACATTGAAACAGCTACACCTGCACAGAAATCTATACAATCAACCGTGTCCAACCCTGCACTAACAAACGTGTTGCATGCGTGTCTCTGTGTGCACATGCTTTGTAAACTTATAGCTACATCATGTCAATACAAAATCGCCAATAATTTCAATAGAAACTCGCGAATAATTTCAATAGAAAATCCCGAATAATTTCAATAGAAAATCCCGAATAATTTCAATAGAAAACCCATTCTTAAATCAATCGAGGAGACAGTCGTGAAATCAATCGAGAAATCCTGAAACAGGCCACGATAAAATCAATAGAATGCAGTGTCAGAAATCAATCGAACCCGACCGAACAACAGAATGCGATTCGATTGAAAAACACCAGAATCAATAGGGTTTTGAATTTTTGAAAAAATCAAGCGTTCGATTGAAAAAAATCAATATCGGATGCTCTGGGTCTTCGTTTGGGAGCCGACCGTGAGGTGCGGCTGTTGTGCGACCCAAGTTGTCGCGGCCTGCCTTGGGTTTGAAACGCGATAAACACCAGCGCGGTACATGCGCCTCGACACTTGCATTGCGGACCTTGTTTCAGCAAATCAGGTTTTCTTTGTGATGCGCAATTTGAGGTGTGGCTCTGCGCCCTCCCCTGAACCCTAAACCTGAAACCGTGGTGGCTCTGCCCTCTCCCCACTGAACTGGGTCCCTGTTGGTCATAACTTTACATTTTTGTGATAATGAGTTTATAAACCCAATAAGATTAAAGATGATCCTTTTTAGTATAGCCTCAACAAAGAATATGATGAAACCCAGTAAGATTAGACATGGTCATGTTTAGATTAGCCTTAACACAGAACCGGTGAAGGTGTGCAGGTCGTGGGCACCTTCGACACCCTTGGCAACGATCAAAACCCCGAGACCTCACAAGGCAGGGTTTAGGGTTAGGGTTTTGTAATTTATATAGGGTTTAGGGGTTTAGGGTTTAGTAGTTTATGTAGGGTTTACGGGTTTAGGGTTTAGTGATTTATAAGGGTTTAGGGGTTTAGGGTTTAGGAATTTATACGGGGTTTAGGGTTTTAGGGTTTAGGGGTTTAGGGTTTAGAGGCTCCTTGCACACTTCTTCAAGTTATTTTGAACAACCGTGTCTCTACAGAATAATATACTCTTATTTAAGAAGGGGCGGCTCCACCTCGATCCTAGGCCCTGAACCGGTGATCGTTCAACAGCGCCTCCATACCCTAAGGGTCCATGTACCCATATAGAGATACATGGGCCCCAATGTACCTATATAGGGACTACATTAAGGCCAACGTATATACTATATGAGTACATGGACCCTTAGGGATAGAGATGTGTGCGGAACGTGGTTGCTGAGACTGGGTGTATTGGCGACGCAGCGTATCGCGGGGCTTGGTAGCGAGTGTACCGGATCTGAGAGTAGAATAGCCCAAAAGCCAACATACACAGGCCCATACTCCGCGAACCCTAATGCCTCTTATCTAAAAATGGAGCCCTATCCCACGTAGACTAAATCCTGAGAGCAGACCGGTTCGAATCACTACTTGGAGGTCCACGGATAGTTATAAGTAGGATGACTCTTGTTATTCCCACATTATGGGGATTTAAAACACTACTTATGACTGCCGATGAACCTCCAAGTACTTAGGGCCAAAGCCCTTCTTTCCGGGGCTCAGCTGTCAGCTTAAGTTTGACTTAGATCTCCCCCAAAAGGCACCTTGTTGCCCTTGTTTGGAGTTTAGGGCTGTGTCCTTATCGAAACCCAATAGTAGGAGCAAGGGTGTCCGTACTCCATTAAGGGCTACAGGGGCATCTAATCTATATTGATTGGAGGCCGTGACTTCAGATCAAGGACGCTCCAGCTGTTACCCTAACGGCCCATGAACCCCAAAGGCATATACTTTAGCCTTATACAGTAGTCCCTATATACTAGAGGTACTTTGGGGCCCATGTATATACTATTTGGGTACATCGACCCGTAGGGGTTCCATTCTGCTTTCTCGATCCTCGTTTGCCACAAACGATGCGTTCGGCTGGAGACGCAGCGGTTTAGGGTTTAGGGTTTAACGGTTTCATTACCCTAAGGGTCCAAGTAGTCCTTATTTATGGTTTTTTATACCTAAAAAGGCCCGAAAGCCCCATAATAGGGAGTGCTTGGACCCTTAGGGTTAGGTTGTGCTTGAAGGTGCGCAGCCGCAACAAGACAGGATGGTCCGAACGCGACCTCCGCCTGGCGTCTTAGAAGTACCTGCGAAGAAGGCCAAAACTTATCATCATCACCGGTTGAACCCTAAACCCGACCCCATGTACTGAACTTCCTTGGGCATAGGCTAGATGTAAAACAATCCTACTTCGACCAGCCAAGAGAGAGACCGATAAGCCTTTATCACAAGGGTCCCTGAATGCAAACAGTATAGACTGAGACTGTGGCTTTCAAGTAGTCCCTATCTTTGGGGCAAGTGTATTATGCTGTTGGAGCACATGGACCAATAGGGACTAGGTGGCTTAGCCCCGTACGTCTTAAGCTTTACTCTTTAACTTAGGAGTACTGAGTCTGAGTGAGCCTTTACCAATCCGACCCACCTACCATCCATAAGAAAGCCGTTTTTGAAGGCATTCTGACGACGACCATGACCACCACGGAGGAGCGGCACACGAGCGTTACTTGATGCCTCAACCTCCTCCCAGCACCGCCCAAGCTCTACACCCGAAGCCGACACCACAAGTTTCGAGATCTACACGGTGCAGGGTTGGTGCAGATAAGTCAGGGGTGACATAGGGAATGTTATTCCCCAGTGTTCGTCACTCCCAGAGGGTCCAAGTACTCCCTATTATAGGACTTGAGGGCCTTTTTAGGTATCAAAAACCATACATAAGGACTACTTGGACCTTTAGGGACTATGTTTAACCTGTGTTACACTTCAAAAAACCCCCTCAATACCCCAGACCCAGCACCCTGCATCCTTGCCCCCAATCTCCAAAGACCCCGAGCCCCAAACATAACAACACAAGCTCTAAAGCTCCGAGAAGATCACAGGAGGCCAAAAGGGGTTTTAGCCTATGGGGGTTTAGTAGGGATTAGGGTTCCCATAATAGGGTTCATATTCAGGAATCCCTACCCCAAGAATCTTAAACCCCCCATTTGGCCTCCCATCAGAAGAAGCTTCAGAAATCAGGGGAGCATATTTCTTTTTCCATGTAGCAACAGGGAGATCCCCACGTTCCGCTAATTTGTAGATATCCTAAATAGCGCCAGGAAAAGAACTCAAAAACTCGAAAGCAGAAAGGTTTGCAACAACTCAAAAAGCCGAATCGCAGGGACACTAAGTCCGAGGTTCTAGACTCAGAATGCTGAACCTGCTAATTCACGGTTTAGGGTATATGCAGGGTTGAGGCGGTGGAGGGTGGGAGCACCAAATCCCGAGCACTTGTATACTTGCCTTTGTAACTGTGTTCCGGCACGCGACACCCCTTCACCCCAAACCCTGAACTCTCAAGGGTCTGCATTTGATCGCGCAGGGGCCTACTGGTAAAGAATGTAATCGTAATGGTCTAGTCGTAATGGTCAATGTAATCGTAATGGTCTAGTCATTTAAAAGAGCCTCTTAAATTGGAATACGGTTTTGGGGCCCATTACTATACTATAGCTTAATACGGAAACTCCCAAAATAGTGTTGGTACATACATATATACATATATGTATATATATATATATATATGTATATTTCGGCCCCTATATTATAGTACCCTTAAAGATCCCCGTATAGTAACCCTTATAGACCCCGTTGAAGGAACCCTAGGAACCCTATTGTAAGGCTCTAAAGGTTTGGAATGTCCTCAGCCCAGGGTCCCATCGAGCTCGAGGGTTGTTAAGCAGGACATGCAATTAGGGTTTAGGGGTTTAGGGTTTAGGGTTTAGGGGTTAGGGGTTTAGGGTTTAGGGTTCAGGGTTTAGGGTTAGGGTTTAGGTTTTAGGGCTTCGGGTTTAGGGTTTTTAGGGGCCATAGGCCCCCACGGTAGTTCCTTTTTGGGGGTGCATATTTAGAATTCTAGAAGGTAGTCCCAAAAAGGAACTACTATGGGGCCTATGGGTACTTCAAAAGTAAAAGACATCGAAGGACTATCGACCTAATTGTGTCATGGCTTAGGTAACGGGCGCAGGTTTGGGGCCTACAGTGTGTGCTAGTTGCAGCATTGAATCTTTATCGGGCAAGGTAGTGTTGAGGTTCTTGCGGGCTCCACAGTGGAACTGTGCGGGTTGAGGCTTGTATAAGTAAGTTGAAGCTTCGATTGTGCCTTGGATTTGGAAAGGACCTGCAGATTGTCATCGGCAACACCATCACTTCCACCCAGACGGCCACCACAATGACCAGCACCATCATCACTACCACCACTGTGCTCTTCGGTCTCAAAATAAGCAGTGTACGTTGGACTACAGAAGGGTCTCTGGGTCCCCTAACCCGATCCTGAAGATAGCTTGCGAGTAGCGCCTGAGTCCTTAGGTATACTTTTCCAAACCGCAGGAGTCTGCGGATTCGGGGTCACAGGGTCCCAAGTAGCTATAGCGTAAATGTGGGATTTTGATTTGGTGAAGTGATAGCCATATCAGTACCTGGGACCCTTTGGGTGTAGGGTTCATTGAGAAGCATGTACCCAGAGATTCCATGATCCCTTAACATTGAGGAATATACCCTGAACTGAACTATAGTGGGATCCCTTGTTTGATCTAGTAAGGTTTACCCCTTAATTCATGGATAATGGAGTCTCTGGGTGCTTGGACTGCGGGTCATGGGGGATGTCAGAGACTGGGAGCCGGCTTTCCAGATTCCAGGCATACTAACACCGCATGTCATATCTTGATCAAAGTTCGGGGTTTAGGGGTTTAGGGCTTAGTATTAGGATTTAGGGATTTTTGCAGAGTATATGGTACACGTACATCTTTCTTGACTTTGCGCGTTTGTCGGGTGTCTTCCACACCAAACGATTGATGAGTTTCCAGGCAGGCATCCCCGAAACTGCGATGACCCCCTACTGTATCATCAACTCTTACCCAATGTAGGAATTCTTCGTAGCAAGCTACGGTTCTGAACGAGGTATGACCGAAAGGAAGTCAATTGACCCTGACTCCGCTTTCAGCAAGTAAGCCGTAAGACCCTAGGCCCTAGACCCTGAACGGCCCTAAACCCTAAAGCCTCAGCAGGGCTTTGGGTTTAGGGTTTCAGGATTGGGGTTTAGGGCAACCCTAAGACCTAAACCAACTTCAGCTAAGGACGATGACCATGACGATCACGCAGACGGCTCAAGGACCCTCTCCTGCCAAGCCCCCAGCGGTAGGTTTAGCGTTTAGGGTTTAGGGTTTAGGATTTGGTTGTCGGCCTGATAAGCTTAGGATTTGGGGTTAATGTAGGAACCTGATTAAGAAACCTTGGGCCTTTATTAGGTTCCTTATATGAATCCTACTACTTTGGGGTTATAGGCCCAGGGTTTCTTAATCAGGTTCCTAGATTAGGGGGGGTTGCGCTTCCTGTTTGCCGTGGAGCAGCAGAGAGTCTTCGGATGCGAAGTGCCTCGGGCCATTCCATGTGCTGGCGACCGCTTATAATCTGTACAGCGCAGATACATGGGTGGTTGTCAAAGTTAGGGTCCCCTTTTTGGGTACCCTAAATTCCTAAATAATAGGTGCCGCATTATAACCCTAATTTTGACAACCACCCACATGAATTGTTTGTTTGCATTTGGCCGTCGCTCTTGAGTCCTTGCCCCGATCGATAGGTTCTCTGGCAATCTTGCTCGCTGCGCCTTGCTGGAAAGGCCTACTATAGGGGCCTAAATAAATACTTAAATACCACTACTATTTTGGGGGTTCCTTTGCTATAATTTTCGTATTAATATACCCCCCAAAATCCTATTCTGATTATTACGGCCCCTATACATTAGAACTCTCAAGTCCTGTTAGGGCGCACTTGGAGGTCCATGGGTAGTTTTGAGTGGGCTTGGAAGTAGTATAAAGTTCCACTTACAACCCATATTAGGGGACTTATAACCCTATTCATAACTACCCATCAAGCCTAAACCCCATAACCTTGTAGACTCCCTATAGATCCCTGAAAGGTACAGTACCCTTAAAGGAACATATATCTACCAAGTCCAAGGCGCCTGGGGAGACGACTTCCACCACATCGGCGGGCGTGGCCCCAACGAATCCTCCAGTGGTGAGCGGCAGCGGCTCGGCTCGCCAGGAGGTTTGGGATCTTCGGGCTGTCTAGGGCAAATAGAGGGCCTAAACACATATACTACTACTACTACTACTACTACTACTGCTACTACTACTACTACTACTACTACTACTACTACTACTACGACAACGACTACTACGACTACCGCTATTTCGGGATTTCCTTTCTATAGTCAAATTACAATGGGGCCCAAACCCTATTCTCATTCCTGAGGCCCCTGTATTAGGGCTACAGCTACGAGTGAAGGTCTTGCGGTGCAGGTGTTATGGTTGCTTAGTTTGTGCTCTCCTTGCTGTGTAGATTCTGGGTTGATGTTTACGGGTTTACATTTTGGTGTCTGTTGGAGAGGAGGTTTGGAGGGACTGAAGCAGAAGAAACAAGCCATACCATAACACCAACAACAGCCACCGCCCACCATCACGACGACGACGCGACCACAAGGACGACGACGACGACTGCTACTGCTGCTGCTGGTGCTGCTGCTGCTACTGCTACCCCTCGTGCTCCAACTACCACCGGTCGTCAGCATTGCCACTACCCGCCGAGGACATAGTCGCTGTCTGCAGCCTGTATAAGGGAGCTTGAAAACGACCTAAGCTGAGCGGTGAGGTGGTACCGTTGTTTAGGATTCAGGGTATAGGGTTTAGGTCTAGCTCTGATAGACTAGAGTATGTTTCCTAGCAAAAGCATACTTTTCTGTGGCCGAGGTTATGATGGCAGCACGGGTGTCCTCCCGACGCGATTCGTCAATCCTCAACCGCCTACTGGTTTAGGGTTTGTTAGTCTGGTCATCTAGTGTCAAGGGTGGCAAGGGCTGTAGCTTTAGTTACTCTAGGGTTCCAGGGTTTGTGGGTTGGGTTTGGGTGCGTTCATCCATGTAACATGTTTGGGTTCATCATCACAGTTCCGTCCAGTGAATAAGGGCTCATTTATGCGGGCGTTTGTTTGGCACAGCTTGACTATGAGAGGTCTTTATTTCGTGAAGGTCGATTAGTCAGATTAATGGTATTGTTGATTATGCATGTCAGGTAATGCGAAGAGGCTTCCAAGCTAGACTTTCAGTGTGTAATGCGTTCTGTGCTGTTGTGCTGGCAACGCAGACCACATCACTTCTAAACCCGAGTGCCAAACCTTAAGCTTGAAACCAGAAACCGACCCGACCCCTCCCCCCTTAAAACCTAAACGGCGTAACCCCATAAACCCCCTAAGCCCTAAACCCTCACGGTTTAGGGATTTAGGGTTCAGGGTTTAGGAGAACTGAAACGTAACCCTCCCCCCCCCCCCCCCCCCCAAGAATTGAGCTCCATTCCACCCAGAGACAGCCTGGCCCGGAAAGTGTAGCGGCGCTGAAGAACGCTGAGCTTTGTGATCTATAGGGTTTTGTAGGGGCCTTCATGGTTAGAGTAGGGTTCCTTTGAGGGTTCCTTTTGAAGCTGTCTACAAGGAGACAAGGAGTACCATAAGGGGTATTATGGGGGTTTAGTGTAGGGGCCTTTATAAGTTAATTACCCATACTATACCTTTACAGGGATCCTTAAAGGTTCCTTAAAAGGATCTATACGGGATCTGTAGGGTTTGGAGTTTGGGATAGGGCCTTAATAAGTGCTAGTACTATTTATGTTTTTGCTATAATTATGATATAATGGGCCCCAAATGCCTATTTTAATTGCTAAGGCCCCCACATTAATGTGGAGGCTTGAATCAGGCTCTGGGAGGCCTCTAAATTAATGTGTTGGCTTGAATCATTAAATGTCTTGCCAAAGGATTCTTGAAGTATTATATACTACTGTGGTACAGTACCCCAAAACCTTTTTGAGCTTATTCCGGCCTCGCATATTATGGATACCGCGCAAAATGGAGCCCTATCCCATCTATTGAGGCCCAATATTCAGGTCCAGTTAGGTCATGCAGCCGGCAAGCCAGGCCACCATAACGGGCGTCTCTGCCAACGACACCTCGGCCATCGTCTTACGCAAGGGGCTCAACGCTGCGTGGAGGATGCTACGACGGGTTTAGGAGCCCCCAAAAAAAACCTGAACCGAAGGATTCCAGCTTTGCGGTTAAAAGGGGGCTACAGGGCGGGTTCCAGAAAATAACGAAGTGTGTGATTCTGATGTTTACCTGCTGTTTGGGGGCCCGAAGTTGAGGATGGTAAGGTTGAGCACCCCGTCTTCAAGCGATCAACGGAGAGTCCAGTGAACTTTACCTTAACCCTGAAAAGCCTACCTTTTTAGGTTCCTTTTTTATGATTTCTTTATATAAGTCCTTAAAAACGTAAGTTGTTCCGGGTTAAGGTAAACCCTAAACCATCCTAAATCCTATAGCTTAAAAACTGTAAACCCTGAATTCCCATGCAACAGGTCCTTTCATTGTTTCCCCTGCCGGGCCTCTTCCTATGGCCCAAAACACCTACCCTTTTTAAAGGTTCTTGTTCACTAAGTTCACTATGAACCTATTATGGCTTCTCCATAGAGCCCCTTCGAAAGGTAGGCTTTTTGGCTAATTACAGGAGGGCTTCCGGGGTTCGGAGGGTCCAAGTCCAAGTGCATTCAGAATCACAGTAGTAGACGGGGTTGGAATATGTAGCATAAGTTCCACGTTATAGCTCATATGGGAGTTTCCGAAAATTAGGGGTACCTTATTTGGGGTCCCTATAGTCAGCAAGGATCCTACTATTCAGGGTGCTATATTAGCGTCCCCTATTTTCGGAAACTCCCACATGCAGCCCATATGCTCATGTCAACCATGCTGGACCCGACGACCCCCTCATACTTGTTAAGGCCTCCGAAATTCAGTCCGCGGAACCTAAAACCCTGTTATTTGTGTACTCAACCTTCGAAGCCAGAGTCCCTGCTCTGCGCTGCTTATGCACTCTGTTTCGTTTGTTCCTTTTTGGGGTTTTGTTTTCTTAGACTTGTTTATATAAATGTATACTATGAGTAGAATCGATACATTCGACTTTATATTAGGGATCTCTGGAAATATCTGTCTGTTTAAGGGGAGTAGTGTCTAGACCCGTTTCTTCTTGCAAGAGCGAGATGCCTGAAAAGGGAGTTGCACTTGTACCAGAAAAAAACAATCCCCAAACCGTAAGCCCTAAACCCTAACCCCCCACAACAGCTAATGTAGGAACCTGATTAAGAAACCCTGGGCCTATAGCCCAAGATAGTAGGATTCATATAAGGAACCCTAATAAAGGCCCAAGGTTTCTTAATCAGATTCCTACATGAAGCAGTTCTTGACAGGTGAAGGTCCAAAGCCCTCCTGCTCACCGAAGTATTACTTCGACGACATCTGGACTCTCGACATCTGGGCTCAGTTCGGGCTGATTCGGGGGATTCAGGGGTTTTGGGTTTAGGGCTCCAGCTCGGCTGCATATCAGGGTTTAGGGTTAGGGGTCCGGATTTGCAATCTTTTACAGCCTATGGGATTTGCAGTACAATTCTCCTCAACCTCAGATCGCGGTATGATTTACCTGCAGCGCTATTTTTGGTACTCAAGTTCCAAACCTTGATCGCTCCTACTAGGGTTCCAGACTGGTGTGTCGGCTTCAAGTTCGCGCGTTGCGGCTTCATGTTGAAATGACTTCCGTAAGGCCATTTGTGTATACTAATTCATTCAAGAACGTCCCTAAGCCCTAAACCCTAAACCGTGCACGGCATCTGCTCTTGCAGCTCGTGCCAGCCGATGCTGCATGAACAGCAAGCCACAAGAGTTCCCAGTGCAGTGACGATTGTCCTTACACTATAGGGGCCTTAATAATTACCTCCACTATTTGGGGGGGCTCCCTATTATAACTATAGCATCATGGGCACCAAAACCCTAGTCTAATTATTGAGGCCCCTGTATTTAGAGCCCTGCCATTATTCTAATTACTAAAACTCCAAAGCCCATATGCCCTATAAGCCCTAGCCCTAACCCCAAAGCCTAACAGCCCTTGAAACGAAAACCCGAAACCCACAAAGGGAACCCCCTCCCACAGCAATTTACTAGTGCCCCCTTAAAGGGCATAGCTTGGGTACGGCCCCCACTCAGTAATAGTTCAATAATATTCCTAATATAGATATTCGGCCCTGAATAGTAGCCCTATTATAGACTCTTACTGCAAGGGGACAGTACCTAAGGTAGAGCTTCCCCTGAGGGAATCTTATCCCGAAACCTCAAGCCCGAACTGAGGAATCTTGACACCACCCTACGAAGATGGTGAGCCCGGCGATTTCATGTGGGTAATTGTCAAAACTAAGGTCCCTTTCTGGGTACCCTAAATAGTAGGTGCCGTATTATAATAGGGACACAAAGAAGGACCGTAATTTTGACAACCACCCATGTAATCCTTCGGTTTCGTGGTTTAAGGTGTGTAAGGTTAGTTGAGGGCTTAGAGTCAGTCTGATCAGCGTCCAATCTCCCTCTATAAACCGTCAGAATATGGCTCCGACCGGCTCAACGTACGTAATGCCGGGGTCAGTCCAGAACAACTACAGAACGGACGCCTGGTCCAGCATGTTCTATCGAGCCGTTGACAGTCTGTACCAATTGTCGTTTGGGGATTTTGATTTTGTGTAGCTGCGGCCTTCTTCTCCCTTTGGTACTGGTCTTAGGGTTTAGGGGTTTGGGGCTGGGGTTTAGGGTGTTGGGGCAGAGGGTTAATAGAAGCCCATACATGCGACTCTAGATAAGACAACCAACCCAGAAGAACGATGCCATATGCCAGCCAAAAAAATGCCAATACTATTCCTTAGGGTTCCAGAACATATTGATATTGGACTTTGCGACAATACACTCAAGACGCTTGCCAAACCATCAAGGCTCCTATATGAGTTCTGTACGCCCGCAATGGACTTCCGAAGAGCCCCAACTACCCTCGATTATACCCTTAAGGATTATAACGGCTGCATGAAAGGCTATTCCACCTTAGATACCCAGGATATGAGGATCATGCGCGCTCTTGTAAGGGGTACTTGTTTCTGAGAGGCAGTGGGTCTGGTAAAACGTTCAACCTTCTTTGTTCTCAAAGGGGAAAACGAGGGACCCTTAATGGGGACCCCTACCCTATAATGGGCTATACAATGGGTATATAATAGCTACACTATATCAAGGGTATATACCTATGGGTCCTTCCTTTTCCCCTTTGATGTTCGCCAGGTCACTGATGGATCTGTATGGGACACCACCGCCACCGAGGAAGGGCCACACCATGTTCGCCTTCATCTCAGTCTCGAAAGCCTTCTCCTAAACCCTATACCCTAAACCTTAAACCCCAAACCCTAAACCCCCAACCCTGTGAAAGAAGCTCCAGTTTACGGGGCAGTGTGTGGGATTTGAAGGACTCGTCGCTTTAATTCCGCGCGCGTACGGTTTGTTGAGAGACTGAGGTGGAGGTGGGCTGGGGGCGTGAGGGGATTTGGAGCAGTGTCGGGTTCGTCGACCACCTGTAGTCTCCATGTTCCTTTCTTTGCTTCAATCAGCATTTATTCTAGAATAATCACGGTGACCAAAACAACAAGAGCTACAGTGGAGACCTTAGATAGGGCTATCTGGGTTCTTGTTAAGGGATCTAACTGAAGTTACCATAATAAAGAAACAAGATTATCTACTATGGATCCCTCGTACGGTAACTTAACTGGGTTGTGCTTTGTTTTTTTAATTTCCCTTATTTCCTTATAAAGGGAACCTATTCATAAATAGTTTTCAAAGGGTGTAAAGCACAACCCAGTTAAATTAAATCCTTCAGCAAGAACCCAGTCTGTCACGGGGCTTGGCGGCCTGTGGGTTTCAGGCTAGGGGATTCTTGAGCTTTGCAGCTTCAAAGGTTTTAGGCACTCGGCTTCGGGTCCTGCGGTTGATGATATAAATCCTGCATGACCTTCCTTAAGGACCCTAAACTATGAGAACTATGGTATATTCCTTATTATGGGTCCTGCAGGATTTATATCATCAACCGTAGTTCTTTTTTGGTTAAAACCCTGTACGGTAATCACCAAAAGGAACTACTATGGGTGGAGTGTACAATCACCGAATACTGCGCCACATCATGCGCGCAAGGACACCTACAGAGTATCTAAGAGATTATCAGGCAACGATATCCCATCATATCCCGTTATGGTCCCCGTATGTTCCAGCGCTACAACATTCCTCAAAGCCCTCGTCTAATCATAGAGGCTCCTCGTCCCAAAGCCTAAACCCCAACCCTAACGCCCGAAAGCCTAACCTCCAAAGCCTAAAGCCTAAGCCATAAAGCCTGAACCTTAAACCCTAAAGCCCTGAAAGCCTAAACTCCAAACCCTAAAGCCTCACAGCCTAAACCTTACCTTCACAGAAGATACCGAGGCCCGGAAAGCTCGCTCGAACGACACGCAGGTCGTCTTATTCGGTGGAAACAACCAGGTGCCCGGATATGGGTTTCTGGTTTCGATTCCTAGGGTTCCTATAAAGATGTAAGTTGGGGTCGAAGGTCTTGGGGTTTGGGGCCGGGGGTTCGGTCTCAGGGGCGTAGGTCGTTGGGTGTTTGGCTAACAAGCAAACATCACGAAGATGCCCGCACATCCAAGACAGCTATCTTCACTTAAAGGATCATGGGACTTATAAACTCGGGCTATTATTAGGGTATCTATACTTAGTAACCCCAATTATGGTACTTATAACCTTACTCACTAAGTCCCATGATCCTCCAAGCACGGACCCTCAAAAGCCTGAGTCTGAAGTTGAAGTCTGATTAAGTACCGCATCATGCAGGATGTACTTGGGCCATAAGTGTAGTCCCTAAATACGTAGTTTGGGGAAAAAGTAGATGCTGCTTGGATTCATGGACCCCTAGGGTGAACCCTAGGATTGCACACACCCAATGCGTACCCTAACCCAGTCAAAACCCTGTCTGTTCTAAGTCTTAAGTGCAAATCTGCTAATCGCCATCCTAAACCTCAAACCCACAACTCCACTGCTGACCTAAACCCTAAACCCTCAAACCCACATCCTAGCCCCCGAACCGGAAGCCACATCTTCTGAAGCCGGATGGTTACCCAAAGGGTCCTAAGTACCAGCATAGTAGAACCCTAAAAGTCCATGTACCCATATAGAGATACATGGGCCCCAAAGTACCTATATAGGGACAACATTAAGGCCAAAGTATAGACTATATGAGTACATGGACCCTTAGGGTAAGGGACTTCAGGGTGGAGGTGGAGGGGGGGGGGCTTTTGTAAGTTGGAACGTCTCTCGGGATTTACAGTAGGGCAAAAGCCAAGCCAAACACTGATTTTTTAAGCACTGAGCAGCATGGAGGATGACCCACTGAATGACCTCTGGATCTTGAACGTGAAGCGACCAGGCCTGACATCCAGGAAGATCTTCCTTGTGTTGGGTTGAGGACCTTATTCCTTGTAAGAGTAGGTAGGCTTAGCTTGTTGATGCTGATGTAACCGTATATACAATGATTGCAAGTTGGGGCAAGGGTACTCAGCTACTCAAGGATTTGAGTACAGATCATGCATGTGATGCCCGGTGTGACCACTCAGTGTAGTGCAGCTCCGCGGATCCTCACCTAGATATTATGCACTAACCGTTCTACCATGGAGCTGGAATACGATGAGGGTGAAGATGTCGGTGCACAGCGAGATGGAAGACTTTCTCCAAACCTCTGAAGTGTAAGCCCGTCGGATGTCACACTTTGCCTTTCTGGAAGAGGTCGAGCTTGCTTTGGGCTCCGCTTGGGATGTGCAGCGACCGAGGTGATGATGACGATGCTGCTAATGTAAATCAGATTGCCGATGGCGAGAACATTGCCTGTCATCAACCAGTCTGTTTTCAGCCGAAGACTAAAATGCTGGAAGCGGAGCCTCTATTGCGACCGCGACCCTGCAACCCCAAACCCTAACCTAAGGGCCCAAGTAGTCCCTATTTATGATCTTTGGTACCCAAAATGGACCCAAAGTCCCATAATAGGGAGTACTTGTACCCTTAGGGTAACCCACCAGAAACCCCGCTCCTAAGCCCTAAACCCGTGAAAACCTGTGGAAGAAGCCGTGCAAGAATCAGGGACATCCCCAAGGCCATTTAGGGTTTAGGGTTTAGGGAACCCAACACTGGACGCCCCAATGTCTGGGGGTTTCCTTATTATAAGCATACTATGACCCAAACCCTAGTCTAATCAATAAGGCCTCTACATTACAGCAAACCTCGGAAAGTTGGAGCACGGATTTAGGATTATTAGTGCTGGGATTCCCTATATCGCTAGGGTTTTTGGTCCCCAAAATATCCAAAATGGACTCAAAGCGACGGCGGAATCCAAAGCCCAACGAGGTGTGGAGAAGATCTGGACACAAATCGCCAACATCTCAGTGAAGATGGATTTGGGGTAATGTACGAAGCTTATTAAGAAACCCTGTACGAACCCGTTTAAAAAACCCTGGCCTGATTCCCACCCCAATGTATTAGGATTATATAAAGAACCCTAATACAGGCCCAAGGTTTCTTAATCAGGTTCCTACAATACCCTTTTGGATCCCTTATGGTACCCTTGTAGATTCCTTATCGTAGCCCTTATAGAGCCCTGAAAGGAACCCTTAGGCCCAAGGTTTCTTAATCAGGTTCCTACATTACGACGGTTTAGGGTCTCGGATTTAGACTCCGGAATTTATGTGTGTGTTGCCTTCCGTCTTTGGGACTTTAGTAAGTTAAACCAGGCTGTTCAGTGACACACTTTTTTACTTTCAGATTTCTGGGTTCCTATTATAAAATAAGCTGTAGCAGGCCAGCCTCTGTGTGCATGTGTGCGCTGGTGTGTGTCTCCAGTGCCTTCCATGTTACCATCTTTAGAGATCGATGTTCAGAGGCCAACATGGCGAAGCGTGCATCTGTTGACGTGGATTGCGATGAGGCAAGGGTGCACAGACTTTGCGTACGCAGTCAGCAGTCAGAGCCCAGAGGTGGAGGAACCAGAGCCCGAGATGGCCAAACCGTCGACGGTGACTTTCAATCCGCTCAATGAACAACATGCCAGGCCACAGCTGTTGATATGCACGTTGAGGACTCCCATGTCGATGTGAATGATCAGAGCGTGGAAGAACCAGAGCCCAAGATGGCCAAACCGTCGGAGGCGGCTGAGTGTTTGTCCATGTGGTCGCCTACAGTTGGACACGTGTTGACGGTGACTTTCAGTCGTTTCAATGAACAACATGCCCCTAAAAAAGTATATACTTTTTCTCAGTGGGTTGGTGAACAGCCGAGTACAGGCATCAGGACAGATGTGTTTGGGGTGGTGGGGTTGGCAGAAGGCACGTGCATCCATGGGGTAGACAGGCTCGAGCACGACCTGCTGCTAAGACACCACAAAGGAGGTTGTATGATCTTGAAACTTAAAGGATCATGGGATTTAGTATCTAGGGTTAGGCTAAGTATGCTTATAACTACTTATATCCCCAGTTAGGGTACTTACACAACCGTACTTACTTAATCCCATAATTTTGAAGTAACGGGTTTGAGGATATGGAATGTTTACCAATGCAGTCGCAACAGCTTCCTTGCGATGGATGCAAGATCAGATGGTGTCCTTGATGAGAAACGCGATGAAGAATAGCACGATGATGGCCACCCCCTAAACCCCCAAACCCTAAACCCTAAACCATTCTAACACGTCAAACGGGTAAAGCAGCAGTGGTAGCTGCAGAATGTCGGAGGAAGTGATCAGAGGCCCGGTAGATGCATAGTGCGTGTCGAGCCTTAAGGGGGCCTTGATTCCTCTAGGGACGAAGAGTAAGCTGCACACATAGGGGCTTTGAAATAATTACCTATACTATTTGGGGGATTGAGGGGTTTCTTATTATAAAAAGTAGAGTATAACGGGCCCCTTAACCCTATTCTTATTTTGAAGGCCCCACATATCATAGAACCTACTGTAGATCTCTTTCAGGAACGCTCTACAGGAACCCTATCTTAATTATTCAGGCCCCTACATTATGTACTCAGGCCTGCAGAGGAGATCCTGAAGCTGCAGCCGAGGGGGTTTGGACAGCCCTGAGTCGGCTCTGCAAAGTCTATCCCCTAAACCCTCCCTAAGCCCTTGTAAACCCTAAACCCTAAACCCCAAAAAAAGTAAGCCCCCCCAAACCCCTAAACCCTAAAGCCCCCAAAGCCCGCTGTCGCTGTTGCTCAGGACAAGTTCTTTCCAGGGGAAAAGCCGCCAGCTGTGTTTGGGCCCCAGCCGACAGGTAGGGTTTTGGATTTTGTAGGTTTAGGGTTCTGGGTTTGGGGCTTAGTGGTTTAAGGCTGAGTCTCAATAGTTGCCCACTATGTCTCTTTATAGTTGCTTGTATGGTAAGGTCTCATCCCCAAACCATACTCTAAATTTTGAATACCCTATTAGGTGAAGATTTCCAGGCTCGACTCATAGGGTGATGTCCAGTCCTGCTACCCTCCGGGTCCCGGTTCCTTTGAAGGCTGCGTAAAACGCCCTGCTGACGATGCCATGGCCAACTGTACGGCGAAAAGGACTGGTGCAGAGCCTTTTCGGGCCCTTGCACGACCAGGGAACGTAGTCTCTGAACCTCTGGTGGTCAGAGCGGCAGCGCCAGGATGAAGCATTGATTGAGACATGAGGCAAACACCCTTACTTGAATCTTGTTTAGTCTGTGCTTGAAGCCTGCTCAAGCTAGTAATCGTATCATCGTCCTGCCTTTCTGTCCATGACTTTCCGTCTTGAACACTCAAGACATGGGTAGCTACAGCAGGACCTCGTATGACATGTGCATGCGTGCGTGTGTTTGCACGCGCGCGCGGGTGTGTGTGTGTGTGTGTGTGTGTGTGTGTGTGTGTGTGTGTGTGTGTGTGTGTGTGTGTGTGTGTGTGTGTGTGTGTGTGTGTGTGTGTGTGTGTGTGTGTGTGTTTTTGTGCGTGTGTGCGTGCACATGCGTATACATGCGTATACATGTGTGTGTCTGTGTGTGTGTGTGCGTGCGCATGTGTATACGTGTGTGTCTGTGCGTGTGTGTTTTTGTGTGTTTGTCCGTGCGTGCATGCGTGCGTGCGTGCATGCATGCGTGCGTGTGTGAACGCCTTGAAGTCAATAATCGTAATGATTCGCTCTCTTTTTTTTCGGTTTTGAAGCGGCCGAAGCCGTTCTGACCTCAAAGCCGTGTTTTGCGTGGCTCTTCAAAGCGTTCGTAGCCCATAAGCGTAGCTATAATCCTGCCTAGTCGCTCTTGAAGCCCTGCGCCGCGCCAAAGCCCATACCAGTAGCTAACCCTCAGGCTCCATGTGCCAAAATAGCATATACCTTGGCCTAAAAGTAGTCCCTATTTAGGTGCTTTGGGGCCAAAGTATATACTATTTAGGCACATGGACCCTTAGGGTAGGATCTTCTACTGTGGCCTTTCACTGGGCTTTGGAGTACCATACTTTAATACTTCGTTTGGACTTGTTTGTTAAAGGAACGATCATGAAATAAAGGTCTATACTTTTTCTCCCTGACTTCAAATCCCATTCAATCCTCATTACAGTATATAAGCATAGAGCCCTATTAAGTGTCTCAGAACTACTGTGCTAAACTGCAATGACTTTGGGTCTTCATAGTCTATGGTCGTGCAGGATCAGCACTTGCCATCAGTGTCTGCGCCATAAACCAAAAGTCTGAAAGGAACCCTAAACCCTAAACCCTAAACCCCTAAACCCTAAACCCCTAAACCCTAAACCCTAAACCTTGAAACCCTAAATCCCGAGGTCCCTAAAACTTAGGTCCTAGCTGGCTTGTCGAAAAGTCCGTTACCATAGGTTTAACAGAACCTTTTACAGTAAAAGCCAGAAAGTTGGAATATGGTTATCCTAAACCTTTTGTGGTAAATCATAAGGTATCCTACCCTGAAACCATATTCCAACTTTCTGGCTTCTACTATAGGTCCTTCCACACCATGATATACGTGGAAGAGCTGGACACGGCCTATGTGTGCCTTGCCCTTTTTCGAAGGCTTGGGGTCTTCGAATTCAGGGTCGAAAAATGCACTACAGAGGCGTAGCGTCAAATCTAGGGTTCTTGTAAGGGTTCCTGTAAGGGGCCCCCCAAAAGGCTCTATAAGGGTTTTAGGTTCAGGGGTTCAGAGTTCAGGGTTTCGGATGTAGGGTTTCGGGCTTGGGGTGTAGGGTTGACGGAGTAGTGTGCTGTTCCCGAGGCTTCGCTGTTATGGCAATACCCCATTAAACTTATGACGGTGCCTCCCTCTCTCTCTCTCTCTCTTTCTCTCTCTCTCTCTCTCTCTCTCTCTCTCTCTCTCTCTCTCTCTCTCTCTCTCTCTCTCTCTCTGTGTATATACATATATGTGTAAGTATAGATGTACATGTACAGATACATGTACACATACATGTATATATATATATATGTATATATATATATACATATATATATATATATATACATATATATATACAGGTATACATAGTACATACATACAAATGAACATACATAGATACATACATACATCGACAGAAACATATTATAGCCTGTCAACTAGCCAAGGCAGCCTGCGAACATTCAGCCATAGTCACCATCAGAAGCTCCATGCAGATCGCGACAGTCGTCATCATCATCAGCAGCAGCAGCAGACTTCATCAGCATGACCCTCGTAACCCTAAACCCTATAAACCCTAAACCCGACGCCCGAAACCCAAATCCCTAGTTATCACCCCCGGACGCATCGAGTGCTGCTAGTAAGTCGGTCCTGGACTGATGACGTCAAGAGCTGGGGTACCATAGGGGCCTAAACAACTATCTACTGTTTGGGCGGTTCCTTTAAAGGATCCATAAGGGTTATAGGGTTTATGGTTTAGGAAAGGGGCACTACTATTTAGGGGGTTCCTGCTTATACTTATAGTAGAATGGGCCCCCAAACCCCACTCTAATTATTCCGGCCCCTATATTAAGATCGGCAAGATGTCTAACTTCATGTGGTAGGTTCCCCAGCAGTGCCTCTTCGCCCTGCTTTTCTTCCTGGGGCTCCTTTATTAGAGCCAAAAAGTAGGACAATGGGTACCCTAATTATTGAGGGGCTGCTAGGGAAGCTAGTGTCTCAAGCCGAAGTACCACGAGACCCTAGCCACAAGCCTCTCGGTTGCTTTACTATTAGTTTCGGAGCTTGAACGATCAGGAATACGAGGCCTCCGGTTTCGTGACATATTTGTACAACAGAAAATCCCCAAACAAAGTATATGTAGGGTCGAAGGTTCCGTTCAAACAGAGCTTTCAATGCTTCGGAGCCCCACCCCACCCCCCTTGCCCCCTTTGGGGCCCCTTATTCAAACTGAATGGTAGGAAATAGGGTGCCCTCATCGTTAAGGGGCTACTGGGGAGTCTAGATTAGTAAGGTTAGTCCTTAGGCTGAGGGTTTAGGGGTAAGGTTTGATCTGAATGGTTAGTAAGGCTACCGCTGCCTTGTCCCCTGCAGAAGTAGATTCCATCATTCCCCAAAGCTAGGGTTTAGGGTTTAGGGTGCTTAGGGTGCTTAGGGTATAGGGTTACTGATACTGGCAAGCGGTGCCCTAATTTGACTTCGTCCTCGAGTAAGCCACCTTCAACAATCTGAGGGTGGCAGCACCCTTGTGTGCTAAAACCCCACACCCTTCCCCGGCGAAGGCACTACAAAAAGCCCCGCAACCCACGTCCCGAAGCCCTGTAACCGCATCGAACGGGACCTGTAAAGACGAAAGCACATTCCAAACCCTTATGCACCCACGACTCCCACCATCAAACCCTCCCGTCCAAATCCGAGCAAACCAAGATTAGGTTTGGTGGGCTGTCCTGGTCGAGCCTGGAAGCTCAGAACGGGGGTGGGCGGGTTGGCGTTTAGGGTTTAGGGGTTTTAGGTGGGTAGCTGCCGGCATCACTTCGAGGGGCTTCGAGGGGGCGTGAAACGGTGGCGTGTAAGGGAATTCCTTCTCTTATTTGCGCGTGTGCTGAAACAGATGAGAGGATGTACAGGCTTTAGGTGCAAGTGCTGAGGCCGTAGTATTTGGCGCCCCGTGGTTCTCTCTTCGGTGCAGCCGATCCGGTGCACATCACGGCCTGATCGAATGGTGAGGGCATTTGCGACGAGGTTAGAGTTTGAGGATTTGGGGGCATAAGGTGAAAGGTTAGATGCGAAGAATCATCCTAACACCCTAAACCCTAAACCGTTAACCCTAAATCCTAAACCTTCTAACACCCAGAAAGCCTTCTTCTAAATGCAAAGGGCGGCTGAGCACACCGACACTTCGAGTGAAAACCACGCAAGCCGCCTTACACGCTGAACCTCTTCACAACAAAGTATGAATC